GAGGGTAGGGAGGGTCACAATAGGAGATGATAATTTTAAATGGGGAAAATTAGGAAAAATATTTAAAAGTCTGCAGTAAGCCCAAGGTACATGTTACTGTGTGAGTGAAATTAGGTAGTGTGGATTCAGAGTTGTTCAAATCATGGTCCTTAAGGTGAAGGGGGTAGAAAAGGCCACAATAGGAGATAAAAGTTTTACATTAGAATAAATTGGGTGAAAATCTTAAGAACAACAGGGTAATTCTCACAAGTAGACATATGAATATGCAAACATCCCGAGGCAGCATCAATTCAAGTTTGCTTAATGACCCCCGGAGGTAGGGCGAGGCCACAATAGGAGATGAAAGATTTTAATGGGAAAATATAGGGGAAATACTTCAGTCTTCTTTCAAAGAGCAGCAAATAAGTGAACACAGATAGTGTAGATTCAAATTTGTTAAGATCTTTATTATCTTTATTATCCTTATCTTTATGAAGGGGTTAGAAAATCTGGAAATCAAGACCAGAGAAAGCTGTGCAAGTGCACAGTCATGTCATTGAAGTAGGAAACATTTATCAGGACATGCCAAACAATAGCAAGATATTAATCTGGCACTAATGAAGGAAGATGGTAATTTTTTCTCTTACTCAAAATTTCGATGCTTGGAATGTAAACTTTGATACTACTATGTTTTACAATGTGGAACTACTATGTATTTTGAAATTTACTTTATTCTGATTTATATGGAATGTTTCAGAGCTTAAGAAGAATACTATTTTTTATGACCAGCTTTTGCTGTAAACATAAGAACATAGTTGTAAAGCAGTGCGATGAGCATCTGGACAATTTCGGCAATATTTCGACAGAAAACGTCTTAAAAATGAAAAAATTGAAAAAAATTGCTTGAATGGAAACATGCAATATCCAATACTAGTATCCCAAAGATTTCACCCAACCTTTGCTAGGTGTTGTAATCAATTCCTTCTAGATATCCATTGCACGCAAGAACGATGCTTGTAGATAGAAAATAAACAGGAATAAATCATATTCTCAAAGATTCCTAAGGCAAATTAACTTTCTAAGCTAAAACTACGGAAAAGATCTATATATTGAAGAAATAAGATCTCAAGAATGGAGTAACCGGTTTACTAAAAAGCAACCAAGAAAACAAGACCTGCCTGAATGCAAAATTGTTCTTTGGTGTTAGTGATTGAAGAATTGATTCAATTCTTCTAATGTGCCTTCAACCAGATAATGGGTGCCATGTTACAAGATTGGTAATGGTATAAAATAGCAAGAACTTGAGCTTGAACCAAAGAGAAAACAATATTTTGAATCACTAAAGAACAGTCCATGAATAATTTTTTTTAACAAATAAATTTCGAGGAGTGTTATTGTCTTGAAAAGATAATTTACAGAGCCAATCGAAAGACGTGGTGTGCATATGGAACAAGATATATGAATTATACCAGACATAGGGTTTTGCATGCATGCTGGAACAAATACTTTCTGGAAGCTTCACATCGAGGTTTTTAACACCTTTTCTGTTCCTGTTGGTCACTAAATTGCAATGCATGATAATGAAACGAATCACCAGAAGGAAGACGCATTGGACTCTTAAGCTGCAGATGGGGATATTGACCTTAAAAATGTTATTGATTGTTATTGACAGCAAATGCCATCAAATGGATCTCTACCTAAAATTAAATAAATTCAAGATCAGACAAGGACAAGTTGTACAAAAAATGTTTAACATGAAATGAAATGAAAGTAGGAGAGGGGGCTAACTAAAAGTGAGAGGGGACTAAACCAGTAAAAAAGGGGGGCTAAGCCCCAATTTTCAATACTTGTATAATGTCTATCTTTGCAAAAAAGTGGGGGGGGGGGAGGGGGCTAAGCCTCCCCCCCCGGTTCCGACGCCTACATGTATGTACATAGTACAGAAAAGTGTTGAAGATTAATATCACGTCAGATTTCAAATATGCTCTGATCATTGTATCTATACCAAGAAAACCACCAAAAGCCATTCAGAGACTTTGTGTACAAATATTCAGAAACCCCAAAAGACCAAATGTACAGAAAAGATAAGATTGATTGTTTGTTTGTTGTCCCTTAAGATAATTTGTTTTCACTCGTATGATACGTCTCCATATAAAGGTAAAGGGCTTCAAATTTAAACCTTTACTCGGCACTCAGACCATTAAACAGCGAGGGTTCTTTGTCTTGCCAACGCTTAGTACCCTGGGTTTTTATGGTCTACTACCGACATGTATGTTTTGCGTCTGAAGTATGACGCGACGGCGGGAACGAGAATCGAACCCGGTACCTCCCGATCACGACACGAGCGCCTGTCACTAGCCTAACGCAACAAGTTGAGGGGAAAAGTGTCTATTATGATAATGATAAAGAAGTCGGTTGTACATTCTTGATTGACATCCTTGATAAAGCCAGCAAATAGTAAAGTGAAGCAAAGTTCTAAAATGGAACTCTCGTGAGAGAAAAAAATTTAAGAGAAAGTCCCAAGAACACCTAGCAGAGGATTATTTTTATAAGTATATATAAGCTTAAATTAACTGGGATCAAACAAATTAACAGAAATATACTTAAATAAGACAGAAATTCCAAGTGTGTTGTCTCTGTTGTACTCTCATCTGTACCCGGGCAACTGGCGAAGAAGCCACAATAGTTATCTTTAATTTACGTCCCCAGGATGAAATTGAAGATGAAAATTCCGAAACCGCACACCTACAGGACACCATCAATCATTTTCCAAAATATAATTTACCTACTGCTTAAAAAGCGAGAAACCAAATTCTGTGAACATAAGTAGAAAAACATGGGTTTTTTTCCCCTCAATCGGCCTCCTGGATGAATATGAAAATTGCAAATCCTTAATAATCATCTAAAGGACACCCCCACCCCACCCCAAAAAGAATGCTTTAGCTATGCGTAAAATATATGAGAGTTGTGAAAATATGGTTTTTCGGTCCCTGATTGGCCTCTTATGATAAATTCCGACTTTATTGTTAATCTCCAGGACTCTGCAAGCCCGTAGAACGCAGGGGAGGGGGGGGGGCGGACTCCCACTTTTTTTAGTATAGTATTTTGCTACAGTAAATTTTCTTTTAGATGCTATAGTTGCCCCCTCCCCCTCCCCCACACACTTTTTTGTTGCTGTAAGTCGAACACTGGCAAAATCCAGAAATTGGACAGATAATATGTTTTTCTTTTGCTTGTCAGCTTATTTTAGGAAGTTGCACCCCATCCCCCCCCCCCCCCACTTTCCGTTGCCACGGGCCTGGACCGTCAATCTTATTCCGAAAAGATGAAATTTGAGAAAGAAGATATTGTGACAGACAGAGGGATGGATTGGGATTACAACAATATACATAAATTTTCTTTAGAAAGTGAAGGGAAAAACTAAGAGCTAATGGTTGATTGATTGATTGTATGTTGTTTTACGTCCCATTTGAGAATTTTTCACTCATATAGAAACGTCACCATATACCGGTGAAGGGCTTCAAATTTAGACCTTTACTCGGCACTCAGGGCCATTGAGCAGTGAGGGTTCTTTATCGTGCCGACGCCTACCGTGACACGGGGCCTCGATTTTAAAAGATCTCATCCGAAAGACACGCAACTTTCACTTCAACGTTCAACTTAGGTCAGTCGCGGCCGTGATTACGATCCTCGTAACTGTTTCCTCGCCAAGCGCCCGGCACTAGAAGTGAAAGTCACGGGTCTTTCGGATGAGACCTTTAAAACCGAGGTCCCGTGTCACGGTAGGCGTTGGCACGATAAAGAACCCTCACTACTCAATGGCCCTGAGTGCCGAGTATACGAGGGGTGATCAAAAAGTTCGCGAACTAATTGAATTACTTCCTTAAAAGAAATAAAATGAAGTTTCAGTGTTCATTATTTTTTTAAGTAGTCCTCTACAATTATAATGCACATTTATCATTGTTCTGCCCATGCGCGAATCACGTGATCCAGGCCGTCACGTGACATGCTTCGTGGCGTTCTGTTCACAGAAGCTAAAAGATTTTTCCGAGTCTTATATTTCTTACCATGCAAGTTATTTTTTTATAACAAGAACATTTCATCTGTCAGAAATGGTCAAATCTCGGCAATAGGATAGGTGGATAAAGACATCCCTTCCCAGAATTAGCATGGTGATCATCAAAACCCGAGTTCTCTGTCTCGGGAGAGTCGTTTATCCGATGTGGATAAAGTATGGACGACCTCTTTTTTATCATATCTCATATGTTTAAAGTCTAAAGTAAATGAAATTTTAGGGATTTAATAATTATATTATTGTAAAGATATTCAACTATTTTTCTAATTGTAACTTTGCGATCTTTCAAAACAAATTGCTCAGCTACTTTAAGGACATATCTTTTCCCCGGCTTGCTTTCGCTGGGCAACAGAACAAACATCATTTTTAATCATCTCCCTGCCTTCACTAAAACAATCAATCCAATTAATGAACAAATTATTATACGCTACTGCAAAGGAATTTCCAAGATATATGTTAAACTTTACAGCCGTTCGTTGCTCGAGTGCGACTGAGTCAACCATTTTTCTACATATTGACGTCATTTTCACATTGTGATGTCACAAACAAGGAGCAAAACATTATATAACACCTGCTATCTATAGAATATGTGTATGACTTTATGTGTGCCAAATTTCATTCTGATCTGAATTATGGTTTTGTAAATATAGAGATAGTTCGCGAACTTTTTGATCACCCCTCGTAGGTCTAAATTTGAAGCATTTCACCGGCATACGCGGTAACGTCTCTATATGAGTGAAAAATTATCAAATGCGACGTTTAACAACACACAATCAATTAATCAAAAAAAGTACCTCCAAGAGCCCTTGGAAATCAGACCTTCGTTAATGCTAAAAAGTAAAGAAACATGAAATTTCTTGTTTATAAAGTTGCCCATGAAATCAAAGGAAAAAAATCTTCGTTCATTAAATAAACTTGTAGTTTGTGATATAATAGAAAGCAACACTGAAAATATATGAAATTTTAATAAATGATATAAACAAGCATTAGAAATTTAAATAAATGATATAAACAAGCATTAGAAATTAAATAAAAATCATGAAAGAGTTTAATAAGGGAGATTGTACTAGGTAACGATGATTATATACCTGTATCGCTCTAATATTAACCCATAGTTAATAGTTAATATCGATAACAGTTTTTTTTCTTTTGAAAAAAAAAGTGATTTGAAGAAATAATTTGCTTTGTTGTAAGAAAACTACTAGTATGTATAATATTACTCTTATGACCTTCAGACAGGATCCTTGTCAAGGCCTGTTAAGCAATCTGATTAAAATTTGATCCTTGATTTGCCCAAATTTCCCTTTAAATTATTTTTTTTACATAAGGGTGAAGCAACAGTTAAACAAGGAGTTAAGCATATCTCGATCAATTTTAATCACAGTTAGTGTTAATTAAGACTTAATTTGAATAACCTTTCAAAGCCTAACTTGTCATACGTTCATATATACATGTACATACAATGAAAATAAAGCAAAAGCATACAGGTGGCATTCATCTTCTGTTAGACTATATTAATAAACTTCTATTTCAATCATTAAACACAATCTTTTTCACACACTTTTTTGAGACCTTTTTTACAATAACCAAGTACAGCATTAATGATTATAACTTTTTCTGTGCACTCAATGTCATCTACTTCTTTATCTACTACACACTCGACCATATGAAAAGGATTTTAACCTAACTGGCAAGCATAATTGAATGAAATATAACGAGAACGTATAAAACAAATCTTTTTAAAAGTGCCGTTACATTAATGCTTACAATGCCAGCCTTTTAAAAGGAGGAAAGCAATCTAGTTCACTCGGGAAAAAAGGGGATTTTTTTTTTTTTTTTTTTTTTTTTTTTTTTTTTTTTTTGCAACTCTCCAGGACAAAACAGAATATCAGCTTTGGTAAAGTACTGCATGTGTACAAGGATTAAAAAAGGGGAGGCAAAAATTTAAAACTTAACATGCATGCGCAGAAAGACTTTGTTACAATTTCATTCAGTGTAAGGAAGGAATTCATGGGCAAATATTTTTAACATGCACATTTCGCATTAAAAAAAAAAGAAAAGAAAAGAGAGGGGAAAAGGAGAAAAAAAAACACTATCTTTAAAATGCATGTAAATTTCTAATAATAAACCCTCGGTCTGTTTTTAACAATTTCATTCATTAATTATTATAATAATTATGCAGTCTTTAGCAAATCGTTAAATCATTGGCTGTATCTATATCTACATGTACATGGCACAAGCAGGGCAGTTTTCTAAACAATACTAATTAAACCATCGGTTCATCATGTTAAAATTAAGTCTTTTCTGATCAACGGTTACTGTTTAGTGCAGGTTATCATGGTTGCTTAGAATTATTGCATGTCATCTGTAATAGCTTCAAATGGTTGTTTGTCTGTCCCTCCTCTTCTAGACACTGCTTTCTGTAAAATAAGAACAAACTTGTGCCTGTTACCACGCTTATTTTATTCATTTATTATCGTGGTCTCTATAAATAAATATTTAAAAAAAATCGAATGCAAATACGTATAGGGAGAAGAATGTTACCTCCTATTTATTGTGATATAGCAACAAAAAAAAATCAAGCATGTAAAATTATACTTTTTAGCAACATAAACAATTTTATAGCTTTAAAAACCCTTGTATTCGTGTTTAAAATAAATTTTAACTCGATTTGAATTACTCAGTGAAATGGAAGTGCTAGACAAGAATTCACATGATCTGTATTATACGTGTTTACCTGCACCCTTCTCTCCGTGCAGATGTCGAAGACCAACAAACAAACGGAAAGAACGATTCCTATGGCAAGTAGAACATATACACTTCCAACCTTATCCATACCCAAAGCACTACCCTTAAAAAGATATCCCGACTCGTCTTTCTTGCTGTTGAAAGACTTAATGTACAGCAAATAATCGTCATAGAAATCTGTGTCACAGACGTCGTCCTCATTCAGCCATTTATCTATTAGTTCTTGAATCACTCCATCTGTCTTCAGCTTAATGATGGCGATATCTAGATTTCTGCATGTGCTAGTGTTTTTGGCACATCCGAAAGAAAACGACTTACGTATAAAAGAATGGTGAATTAGCATTAGATCACACGGCAATTGTCCTGCAATTAGCCTAGCTCCTATTTCTTCTGTTATAAACGCATAATCGCCGTTGCTGTTTCGAACTCGTTTAATTCCATCTTCTGTACTTTTGACCAGTTGATCTGGATTGTTTTTCAAATGTTGTCCAATTTGGCTATCCACCTCATCCAAGGCGTTTGTGAAGTATCTATAAGTGGATCCTGCTTTAACTGTTCCAAATTTCACAGAAGTTTGTTTCGATAGCTCGGAAAATGAATGGAGGGGAGATTCCGGAAGTTGTCGTTTTCCTTCCATGATGAATACAGCAAAGGCTGATGCCCAGGTGGCATACAAAATGATTAGAAACAAAGACCAAAAGGCAAGTACAACTCTCGCAGCCCTGGAGGTAGATTTGGATGGCGCAAGACTTCCTACAATATTGGCATACATATCTAATTTAGTATGTATCAGTAAAGTCCTTTATTTACCACATAAAAGAATTATTCTAACCAGTTGAATTTATACTGTTTAAAATACACCTGCAGTTTTAATTCAACCCATTTAAACATATACATTTGTATTCCAGGATATTACAACTCAATATGAGATGATCAGAAATAATTTAATTAAGCTGCTGTGTTAAAACTCTCTAGTAGAGAGAAGATGATGATAATTAATTCATTGACTAATACAAATTAAGTGTGCTAAACATAAAAGTACGTAAAAGCGTTGTATGTTCAGTGAAGCGGAGTATGGTAGTAGTGGCGTAGGAGTATGTGCATCTGTGATAACTTTGAAGAAAACTATCCAGATATACAGATAAACTAATTCAATCAAGCTTAAATCTGAAAACTTAAATGAGTCGAAGAACGCTAAAATGTCTTTTTTAACTAGTTTGGTGGATATTAGCTGCAGATCTGTAGCTCGTTGGTCTGAAAAAAAAAATTGGGATTGACGACCAGAGAGCTACAGTGCCACCCATTGAAAAAAAGTGTATATTTATTGCGCACAAAAAAGTGCGTTGTTTCTCAATTTATTTCTCCGTATAATTAAACTGCCATCTCAAAATATTACAAACCGTGTGTTCCAAATATATTTTTTCACTACTTCCACAATAAAACATTTGCCAAAACCGTTGTTAATAGCCCACCAGGGCCTGAAATATTTCGCCTACCTATAGTGCCATTTTGGGTGGCAAGACAGTTCGGTCCAACGTACTTCGTACATGACTAATACTTAGTGTGGAATTAGTGAAAGAATATATTAGGAACACACGGTTGGTAATATTTTGCTACAAACGGAGAAATAAATCGAGAAACAGTGCACTTTTTGTGCGCAATAAATATAGTACACTTTTTAAATGTGTGGCGCTGTAGCTCTCTGTTCGTCCTTACTATTTTTTTTTTCAGACCAGCGAGCTACAGATTTGTAACTACTATACACCGTGAAATTTAACCTTGTAAGCAAAATCTGTAGAAGACAACAGGAACTGCTCGGGCAATATTCTTCAGAAAAGAAGTTTCAGCTTCATCTTCCATAGGGTCAAAACTGGCAACAACAACAAAAAAATCGTAAATAGATATGAGTTGACAAGACCAAAACAATGACACATGTTACATGCAATTCCATGTTTAGGAATATCAAAGTGATGTTTCTGGTTGTGACACTCGCGCCCTTTTACTTACTGCATAATCAATCCGTACAGAATGGGAATGATTAAACAGGAGAAGAGCAAGGCGATCCAAACTCCGACGGTAAATGGCTCTAGAAAGGAGACATAACCCTTTATAGCCTGCCACCCCCTCGCAATAGGGCGCTTAAGAACAATGGAAATTCCCGATTCCATGAAGGGATGCGAAAAGTCGATGGCGGTTGCTCGCTCTGCTGTCACGGTAATGGACGCTGCAGCAATATCTGCTACCTACAATGAAAAGTATGAACCCTTTTTGCTTCGCCCTTTTGCTTCCCAACTCTTGTCAGAGCAATATCTATAAAATTATTGTTTAATGAAAGTTATATATCCAAAGTTATTTGATGATTTTATTGACCAAAAAGGAGTATATAATTGTTTTAAATTGGATTCAATTATTAATTGATAAAAACTCTTTTTAAAAGCAAACAACGTCATCTTTCTTGGTTGGTTACGTCTGCTGAAATCTTAGTGAAACGCAGTGAGAGACAGGAGACGACAAAAAATATACATAACCAATCGTATCAATTTGGAAGTTCCGGATCTACTTTTATTACAATGTACAAAAAATAAATGTGAAATTCACCTGGAAGGCCGAGTGCACATAAATTAATGTTTTCAGCCAATTAGAGAGCTAGGAAACATTCAAACTTGTAAGAAACATGTGTGTGTGTGTCTCGGAGTAAGGAATTGAACTGTGGGTTCAAATCCAACTGCTGGTGGAAAATGGACACCGGTTGTTCGGATAAGGGTACCTGGATGAGAAGTTATAAACCGAGGTCCCGAATTGCAGTAGATGTTGCCATAAAAAAAGAGATTCTTCACACCAGCAACTGGTGGCGTCCCAACATGAGTGAAATATTCTCAAAGAGACGCAACCAACCAGGTAAATATAATGTAAACTGAAATCCTACCCCTTTTACAAGTTCTCCTATCATACCAGTCCAGTTCCCATCCCTATCCTGATAGCCGTACTTGAAATCTCCTACATGTTTAATGTCAAAGGTTACATTAATAATTGGTTCTATCCTCTTCAACAAATCGGGTATAAGGCCTTGGAATTCTGAAGGATTTCCAACCTTTTGAGTTACAAAAGGTTTATTCTGAAAATAATGAAAGTTACCATATTATTGCTGTGATGTCTTAAAAAATAAAGAAGGTTCTGCGGCCTTTGTCATTTTCTTTGTAAGTTGATTAATTATATTCAGGAGCACTACCACGCAACCTTATATAACAACAAAGTTTATAAGCGCAAACGCTTGTAGCGGTAAAATTAGATATGAAAAGAAAGCATATATTTCCTTGTTGTTTTTCTTCCGGTTAGTGTACAGGGGCTATAAGCTAGTCACGGCCCATTTTTCTTTTTGACCACCTTTACTATGAAATGTATTTTATAGTATATGAGTGGTTAAGTATAACCCCATGTGGTTCGTGCTTTGAGTAAATAATGCAGAATTGACAAAACAAAATCTCAACGTTTTAAATATTTTACAGTGTACAGTCACGAGCACCATTAAGAAGGATCATGCTAATTTATGTGAATATCCAATGTTATCAGGTATATACCACGAGAAATCACGTGTAAATGCTAGCAATGGGCATAGATCACGCGTAGATTGTAAGCATATCCTTCTGTATGGTATGCTATACCTTCGTATGAAGCATTGTAAAGAATGCAGATAGGTTTACTGTAGGAGTTTGAATCACTATAATAAATCATATGCATATGACATAAGTTTAAATTTTGCGCACTCAGGCGCGGATCCAGGAATTGAAGTTAGAGGGGCCGCAAAAAGTAGGCAGGGGGTCTGGGGCCGCCTTGAGCCCCCCGGTAGGTCCAGGGCAAAGCCCTGGTGGGGATCCAGGGGGGCGAAGCCCCCGGAAGCTTCTGGATTCTAGAGATTTTGTAGGGTAAAAATGAGGTCTACCAAGTAGACATTTTTACATTTTCTCGACGAAACTATGATTTATGCTAAATTTGACAATTTTAGGGGGTGCGCGCCGGGTGCGCCCCCCTTAAATCCGCCACTGGCATTTATGATAAAATGGCTAGTTTAAACCAGAACTCTACACTGAATTCTCGAATTTGCATGCTTCGGTTCTTTGTCAACTTTTAAATCTCTGATTTGGGAATCATGATCATTCATCCCGTGACTTCATTTAAATGTATTTAGATATTGTTATGAAGTGTAAATAATTTCATGGTATACGATATCCCCCTCATGTCCCAACTAAAAAAGGTATATTACAAGGTAAAGCAACGGAGACATAGGGCAATTTAAACACACATCCATTTGCATTTCATTTTATTGCTACGCTGCACGATACATAATGAATATATGTAGTCATATAGCAGTTTTCCCACAATAATTAATAAGAAAAACAGAGTACACATACGACATAAATTGATAGTACTTACAAGAATCGTGGTGACCTTGTACACCGTTTTCTCCTGTAATAAGCAGAACCGTTTGTAAATTGTATCTACGCATGTAGATTGAAATGAAAAGAGAAAGCTGTAAAGATTTTTTTTGCAACGGGGAAAAATATAGATAAAAACTTACTGAAGATGTGGTCGTAAGACCCAGCAAAAGAAACAGACACAAAACGTGGATCTTCATAATGCACCGATGTCAATGCTTGAGCGGATCTTAAATAGTGACTGCACCCAGGGTCGTAAACATGGCAAATAGGACACTAACTTTGTATTTTAAATGTACGACAGACAGTTTAAACCTTAATTCTTCAAATAATCGATAAGCCTACTGCATTGTTATGCAAGCAGTAAAGAAAGGTCAAGAAGAGTCATATATTATAAATATTACAACAACAACAAAAAAATGGGTGGGAGAACACAAAATTGGATATATCCTAATTGTCATCAAAGCTTATGATGAGGTGTACCTGAGTCGTCTCTTGCAGATAAGGCGAAATCTTTCATGCAGATGTTCACATTTAAACATAAATGGGAGGGTGGGGTGGGATGTGCAAAACAATAAACTGATATTGGTCTTTTCCTTGTGCCCTTTTTTTTCTTGTTTCTGAGATGATCATTAATTCATAAAGTAAGATTTTCTACTTAACATTAATCCATAGTAGATATGTTCCTTTTACATTTTATACCTGTTTGTAGACATGTGTCTACAAAAAAATAGATTTGAAAATAAATCAAAAAATGAAGTTTTGTCTCTTATTTCAAGGATGAACTCTCATGGCCGTCTTTCAGTTCTGCTATAAATACATTAAAATATTTGAAATCTGATTTCAAATTGATTCTTAGGCACATCAGATGCTTTGAATCATGTTATGCATTACGGATATGGTCCCAAATCAGGAAGCGTACCTCTTATGTTAGTAACCACTTATCACTCGTCGTTGAATTGTAAACAGAAGGATTAAGACACACAGAATTTATGTATACTAAGTTACTAACTTTTGAGTGCTACATGCACATGCCAGTGGTTGAATGAATGATTCATATATGACACCATATGTGTTCAGCCAGGTGAGCAATATTCATAAACAAGAGGCCCAAGGGCCTTAACGGTCACCTGAGCATAATACAACACTGTAAAGGATTCATAAAAGTATAAAATAAAAGCTGATAGATGAAGATATGTTACCCAAAAGCAAGAGAAATAGAATGATTAGGAATCAGCAAAATAGTACGTCTAGTACTCAGTAACAAATAATATTAACCAGATCTTTTTACTTGCCAGTGTTAATACTCATGCATTTTCAACATATAATCAATAGAGCCCTGCCCCACCACCAGAAGCTCTAATCCAGATGCGATAATTTTCACAATTTTGGAAGAGGCATCCGTGCTCATCATAATTATGCAATTAGTTTGTTTTCTAAATACCTATAGGCGGAGAAGAATATTTTTTAAGAAAAGATGAATTTTCACCATATGATCAATAGAGCTCCGCCCTGACACCAGGACCCCTGACCCGGGTGCCATCCATTTCTCTATTTTGGAAGAGGCACCCTTGCTTATTATAACAATAGGCTTAGTTTATCGGCTAAATACCCAGGAGCAGAGAAGAAAGATTACATGCATTTTTCACTATATAATCAATAGAGCCCCACCCTTACACCAGAGCCCCTGACCCAGGGGCCATGAATATCACAATTTTTGAAGAGGCATCCTTGCTCATCCTAACCATGCACTAAGCTTGTTTGTTTAATACCCAGGCGCAGAGAAGATTTTTTAATGAATATGCATGAATACACGTGTGCAATTTAATTAATCCATCTCTGCAGACAATTCAAGGACGAGTGATTAGTGGTTACTAACCGGCATATGAGGTACGCTTCCTGATTTGGGACCATATCCGTGTCTATCTGTAATGCATAACATGATTCAAAGTATCTGATGTTTTTCATTCAAAGATAACAGAAATTGTTTAGATTTATAAGGATGGCAGCAAAAAGCTGGAATTTGAGCACCATAGTTTATAATCTCTTAGTATTTTAAAAAATTGATATTTGCATTATTTACAAACAAAATATGTCCAAAAATATATAATTATCAACCTAGTGTCTTCCCACAATGTTTTTATTCAAATATAAAATTGGTGTTATGACTATTTTAATACATATATGTGCAAAGTTTTCTTTACATAAATATTGATATCTGGGACACAAGAGCGGATGACTAAGTCTAAAAACTTTAGGAGATTGTAAAATCTTGCCAAATGAACGATTCTATTAAAATGCATATCCTTGCATTAATTTTAAAATATTATATATCTTTCTAAAAAGGATAATACAATTTTCAAATTGATATAAAAAAGAAAGTTATATGCATAATTACATTTTTGACTTATTCGTTAGTTCTTTTATAATATGGGTTCCTCTTCTTTGTGTAACCTTGATTTTGTTGAAATGAACTTAAAACAGTGACCGAGGATTGATGAAATATTTGCAGAAATCTCTCTCTCTCTCTCTCTCTCTCTCTCTCTGGCAATACGCGAAACAATAAATTTTAGTTCCGCTTTTGAAGTGTGGATAAGTGCACCTCCTGATGGGATTATTTAAAAAGCTCATATTTGTTCATGCCACATGGATTCTATTTTTAACCAATGCATATACAAATGTAACAATTTGCCCCCATCTGCACAGATTTTAACAATATTTCAGTACACGCCTGCCTTTGTTTCCGACAAAAATATGGTGAAGGATACATAAAATGTTAAGACTCTTATATTGTATTTCTTTGTAATATTTAACTTTAAAAATTCGCTTTCTTTCTTTTCGAAATGTGAATTTTGATTTATTTGATCTGGCCATATATTTGGCAGTTCATCTAGTGATTTGTACCCTAACGACAGCTAGTTAATTTATTGGAAAATTAATTTTAAGATGCACATTAAAATATTTGGAAGTTATGCCCCTTTGTCTATGAATACTGTACTGTACACTTTAACTGTAGCATTATAAATTGCCTAAGTATCGATACTTATATAAGTGAATATTCAACTGTTCAAGGCACTTAAACAATATTTCTGAAATATTTTTTACAATTACTAGTGATAATTTTTTTAATGCCCATACGGTTTACCTATAGAAGTGATTTATTTTTGTAATTTAACTGTTCAGAGTAGTCGATGCTTTGCTGTTCCTGTTGTCATTTGTCCATCACAATATCCCCCCCCCCCCTCCCCGAAAAAAAAATAAAATAAATAAATAAATAAATAAATAAATGAAAGGGAAAAAATAATAATGTGAAATAACATATTTTGAAAAACTGCATTTAAAAGAAAAGTGACGAAACTTTCTTTGGAAATGAAATTAAGCTTAAACATTATATCAGATATGGCATGTCAAACGTTGCAATATTCGATCATTTCCATAGGTATTGTATAATTCTTGTTTGTATTCTAAATTTTTGTTTATTTGTATTCTATAATTTTCCAGTTGTATTGTGTGATTTTTATCTGTTTTCTATAATTTTCCCTTTGAATTCTAAAATTTTCCATTTGAATTTTGTATTCTATACTTTCCATTTGTATTGTAAAAAAATCATTTGTATTGTATAATTTGTGTTTGTATTCTTTATTTTCCAGTTGCATTTCTTATTTATATTGTATAATTTTTTCATTTGTATGCGATAATTTTTCATTTGCATTTAATCCGAGGGAATGTATATTTGTTTCGTAACGAAGGAGTTTTAATCTGTATCGTGTTGAAAACAAGCGAAATGTTTCGGGTGCTCAACAAAAACTGGGCTTTATTTGTGTTCATGTAGGAGGCGTTCATTTGATTCTCAAAGGGGAAAGGGGGGGGTGGCAGATTTAGTAAATCAAATTATTTATTTTCATGCTCTCGCAGGGCAGAATATTTATTTCCAAGATGACCAGGGACGAGAAGAAGAAAATCTGCCCAAACCCGAAAACTCCGTTTCGTGGGGGGAGCGGGGGAGGGGGTGTTAGGTACCACCAGTAAAGGTCAATTTATTTGTTTTCTTCCCAGTGAATATTTCTGAGGACAGATTATTTATTTGCCAGTTCCCCCTTTTCAGAATCTAATGGCCGTCTCTTAACATACCCGCAAAAATATGTACATGTACATGTAGGAGTCCAGTTTGCTTTGAACACCCTGAACATTTCGCTCGTTTTCAACACGATACAGCCTAAAACTTGACCAATGAATTTCCTTCGTATCGAAACAAATAAACAATCCTCGGATCCAATACGAATAAAAAATTATCGCATACAAATAAGGAATTATACTATATATGCAAATAAGAAATTATGCAATGTAAATAGAAATTATATAATACAAATAAAAAATTATACAATTGAAATGGAATGCAGAATACAAATGGAAAATTATAGAATACAAATAGAAAATTATAGAATACAAATAAAAATTATACTGTTCAAATGAAAAATTAAACAGTTTTGGTTTTATTTTGAAAAACAAGTATAGAAAAACTCAAGACGCATTGTAAACATGAAACTTTTTTTTAAAAATGCTTCAAATCCTGGTGCAACTTTTTCTCTTCCATTATTATAAAGTAAAAATCAGTAGTGCTACCGTCTCATTGAGACATCTGTTTAATTAAACATTTGCATCTGGAAAGTGTAGACTGAAGCATCTTGAAACTAGAAGCTGAAATTGGCACACTGATTTTATTCTACGCATGTAAAAGTTACATTTATTGTTGTGTGTCTCTAATTATAATAAGTTTTAGCACTAGTGATTCAAGTCTCGGAAGAACTTACGAGGATCGTACGCGTTCAATAAATAATGCAATAGGTCATCTAAATGTAAGAAAAGTACGTAGTACATAATCTAAACTTTTTCAATCCCTCAAAGCATTCCCTGTTATCCTTTACACGTGTCTTAAGTCTTTGTACCCATGGCCAGAAAACCTCAGCACACTCATCTTTAGGGATGTCCCAAAGACACTGATGAATATCAATCTTCGTTTGATTGTTTTCATGCGTTTTTGGAATAAAAAGATCTTACAATGGCTGATATCTAGCGAAAATGAGGGATGGCAAAGCTCTGTAAACTTTCTTTTCTTCAGAATTTTATTTATTTCTCTGTGCTTATTTGCAGCAGCGTTGCCAATTGCAAGAAAATTACCCTCGGGGCGGTATTTGGACTTCCTTTGCAAGAAATCTGTTTACCTTTCCTCAGTGCAATTTGAACATAAAATTTACCATTGATAGTCCTTCCTTTGGGTGTATCTGCATGTTTTA